CCGTTGAACCATGTGCGCCCCAATTTAGGGCACTTCGTCACGAAATGGGCGCGCAATTTCTTTCGCCGCTTCAAGGACAGACAGTTGTCTCGGGAAATCACTGAGAAAAAGTGGCAAAATAAGTTGAACGTGGGGCGCACATGATGAATTCGGCACTTCAGCTTGAAGAGCACAACAATCAGTATCACGGACGGAGATAGGCGCCCGATTGTGCATTCGCAGTACTCCCGAATGCCCTCCAAAATGGGATCAATAGGAAACCGGAGCCCGAACCTGAAATACTCCTGATATATGCCCAACCAATGGGGCCCGCACAACCCTACCCTGGCCATGGGAGATGGAGGCGCATACGTCCAGGTGCGCGGGAGCCCGAGCCCATCGATCAAACTTCTCATCCACGACGCCGAGATGGTGGAGTTATGCTCAGGCCCTGCCACATTTGTCGGCAAACACGTTGTCTCCCACGGCGCATACTCCGGTGGCCAGGTGCCTTCCCAAGTAGTTATCTTGTACGAACCATCTTCCGGCACATCGTAGTTCGATGAAGGCGTCGGTATGGGTGACAATGCGGGCGCCTCCACTAAAACAAGTCAAGTAGGCGCACAACCGTTGGAGCAGTAAGAGGCGCCTCCATCACAACAATACAAGCATTCACAAAAAAAAAAAACGCGAAAGGAGAGTGTGGCTTACCGGTCTTGGAGGGGCCGCCTAGATTTTGAGAAGAGCCCGCGGCGGCGGCGGCAGCATCGGATGGGAGAGACATCGCGGCGAGAACAGTAGAACGCTAAAAAAGGGAGAAAGGCAAAGCAGAGAGAGAAGCTAGAGTGAGAAGGCAAATCGGGGGCGAATGAAGAACAATGCCGGGGATCAACTTACATTTAAAGAAAATGGAGCGCCTCGAATATCGTGCCGATTGCCACGTGGCTGATTCACAACCGCGTCGTTGGGAATCCCACACCGGCGGTTGTGAAGGGGGGCAAGAGAGAAGGAGAAGCGGCTAGATCGGAAGGCGCCTTTGATAAATCGAGGAGAGGCGGCGGGAGCACAAGGCGTAGGGCAGCAGGCGAATCAAGGCGCCTCGGGCAGGGGAGAGAGAGAGGCGGCTGGATCAGAAGGCGCCTTCAACAAATCAAGGAGGCGAGGTGAATCAAGGCGCCTTCGGCAATCAAGACGCCTTCGTCAAATCAAGGAGGCGAGGCGCTTTGATTTAAGGGCTAGCGACACTTTGATTGCCCGGATGACTATGGCGCACGACGAGAGAGAGCGACTGGGCGTTTGTTGTGGGCTCTGGGCGAAACTGCTGCGCCCGAAAAAGGGAGCTTCTACTAAAAAACGGCGGATTACGGGGCGCCCCAAGGAAGAGAGCGCTAACTCCAGGCGCCCGGGTGCGATGAGAGGGCGCCGACTAAGAAACAAAAGGGTTGGATTGAAGGCGCCTGGAGGAAGGAAAGTTTTGCGACCGTATGTAGGAACCCGGGAAAAAAGTTAGGCGAATAATAACGAGGGGGGCACCTGAGTCAGGGGCGCCTATGGCCCGCTAGGGGCGCCTAGGTGTTTCAGTAGGATCGAGACGCCTGTTCTAAAGGGATGAAGGTCATGGCGAAGTGGGGGGCAAGCAGCGGTCGCAATGAAAGTTGTAAGAGGGAATAAAAGCCTAGTAGTTAGGCGCTCAAGAAATCCAAAACTTGAGCACCTAACTGGGGGGCAATTATTGGGGGTGTACGAATGAGAAGGCTTCGACACGTGGGTGAGGCCCATTAAGAGACATGAAGCCCAAGTAGTCTGAGAAGTTGAGCACGCTCAAGACTTCGGAGGGGGCCGTGATTGGCGCCCATGGGTTTAGATCGGAACAGCAAGTGGACCTGAGCATCCGGAATGGTACTTGCGCGTTAGGCGCCTAGGGTGAATTGTGCGCACCTAGGGAGGGCGCCCGGAATCACCTTCGGAGCGGGCGCCCGGGATCACTTGCATTAAATGTAAGGGTGACGTGGGAATCCGTACGGGAAAGTCCAGGTAAGCAATGATCGGCTATAAATAGCGAGGTGGGTAAGCATTTACTCAATTTGGCTTCTCTCACTAAAATTGTGCATTGCAAGCACTTCTCTCACTAAGAAAGATACTGACTTGAGCGTTGGAGGACTAACGGGCCACAAGGCCCACCTCTGTGAGTGCAGGCTTAATCGTGAGGGAGTCAGCTGGTACGGAAGAGAAGTAGGCCGATCGAGTGGGCATCAACATAATCAAATAGTTGTAAAATACCATAATTATGATTTTAAATTATTAATTACATTCCTATTTTCCTTATTTCACCCAAGATTTATGACGAGAATATTGATTTCCTCAATTAATCTAACGACAGACATCTAATTGGATATAAATATTGTATTACATATTTATAAAATACCAAAATTTTCGTAAATAACCGATATTTAATTGTATTTCCCTAATTAAATAATTGTATTTCTCTAATTACGAGCCGGACAAACTTTCTCCTCAATACAGATTATTAATTCATACAGATTATTAAATGCAACACAAATTAATTACCTTAAAAACCTATAATTAATAGGGGTTATCATTTTGCCAACCCTTTTATGGGTAGGCATGCTATCTCATCCCACCAACATCTAATACTACTTCCCTAATTAACAATTGTATTTCTCCACCCTTCTTAATTATTATTTTTTTGGTGAAGCCCCTTCTTAATTAATTAAAGTAAGTTTAGGATTTTCTTAATTTCTGTGTTTGAGTAGGTGAATTTAACTGAATTGGGATAAATCTTTAAATTATTATAAAATATCATAATTATTTAATCTTATAATACAAATCATAATATTAATTACTTCTCTCTCCAATTAACCCGTCTAAACTCCTTCTCCATCTCTTATTTTAAATAATTATAAAATAAAAATACTAGTAATACGGTAAATTGGAGGAGTTAATATTGATTTAGGATTAGGAAGTTAACTAGACGTCGTAATGGGGGGAGGAGTATGAGTTTTTAACCTTAATTTTTATTTATATTTTTTGGTAACTGCCATTAAGGGATTCCACTTTTGCCGTTGCTTTTACTTTTTTTCAATTAAATAACTATTTTGTAGGTAAAGTATTTAACTAATTGTAAAATTTCAGAATTAGTGTTTAAATTATGAATACAATTAGTGCTAATTTAACGTGTCATTTAGTTTTCAGTGATAGATTCCTTCCCAATTCCCAATCACTCACGTCTCATCTCATCTCATTATATTAAATTAATTTATTAATTAATAAAAAGATCGCCGCCACAGAAAGGAACTCATCGTCGCCGCCGGCCGTGGTCGGACGGGGTCCGCCGGCCGTGGTCGGACGGGGGCCGCCGCCGGGACGGGATCTCATCTGGCAGCGGTGATCTAGCGTGGATGGTGATGGTGGTCTTTTCTTGGAAGAACGGTGATGGTGGTTCGCTGGTGGTGGACGAGATTTGTGTTATAAAAAACAAATGAAGGATAAAAATGACATTTTTATCAAAATTATGGGCGGCAAATAGTAAATGTCCGGGCGGCAAATAACAATCCTCATAAGCTATATATCGAACGAGCTAAGAAAACTTGAAAAGTACGAATTCTCATGGCCAATTTGGTATGGCCTGCTGCCCTCAAACTCAAAACTCCTCCAAATCAATTGGGCTTGAAATAACAGTGGGCTTAGTATTTGTGCACCAAATATAAGGCTCCAAATTTCTGATCCAAGCTCCATTCTTTAACCTCAGTCCAATCGCAAAAACCCGTACTGTTCTCTTTGAATCCTAGAGGCAACTTTCGCTTGGCAGACTCTTCTTTTTTCTGCAAGAAAAGTCGATCTCCAGTATATTACTGTTCCTAATCCAACTACTGTGTCAAATCAGACCATATGAGACGTCAATCTTATATACAGCAAGCAACCTACTACTAGTAGGTAGAGGTGTTAAATCACCATCGCCAATCGACCATATCAGCCACAGATACATCTGCAAATTTTCCAACGAGGTTTGTATCCACATGACCTGTGTTGATGTTCTTCCATCAGTTCTTTCAGCGGTGAACAACCCTTACACGGAATCTCACAGCAGTACAAATTTGGAAGATATTCATCGGTTTAAAAAGTGCATTATGTGTTCTCATATTCTGAAATAATTGTAGAATACACTTGGTGTCTGCAGTGTTAAAAAAAATTGTCTCTATATACCCTACTAGGCAATCATTCACGAACTTATCGCATATTCGATTTGTAAACTTGTTCTTGATGTAACCAAAGCTGAAAGAATCTTTCAACACTTGTCGTACAACCATAAAATGAATACAAATTAAGGGTAGGTTGAAATTAGTTTAATTGCTAGGTTTTGAAAATAATGAGAAATATGGAATGACATTTTACTATCATACAATGTTCAAAACCAAACAACAAATGAGTTGTAGTTTAATGGAAATTAAGTTTGTTAATAATAATAGTGCTCTGGGTTTGAATTACCCAACCTACCACTTATATTCTCATACACAAATTTAAAAAATGACATTAGAATAATCATTTTGTCAAATTTCAGGGTGTCGCTCACTATCAATTATAATTTCTTTTTATCCATACGTAAACTACTACTGTGATTTGAATAATCGTTTTCCCAAAATTTAGAGATGTCAAGCTCCGTACATCCGCCGCTGCCTATACCTCCTTGATCAACCTTCTTGCTCCGTCACCATCCACTATTGAAAAGTCCAAAAAGAACACCTCAGGAAAAAATAAATTAAAACATGCATGCATGCATATTGCATAATTACCTTAACCCAAATAATTTGTCGGCAAGACACCAAATTAACCCGGCAGCAATAGCATTAGCCACTCATAAAAAGAAACCAGCAGAGCAGCAGACAGTACTTCATAAAAACTCTCTCTGCCTATAAAAACCCCACGACCACAAGTCACAACGTACATCTCTTAAATCTATATCAACATACAATACAAGCTCGATCTTCCTTCCCCCTGTAACTATGTCTGAGAGGAAGGTTGTTCACGTTCTGGCACTGCTGATGCTGTTGGCTGCAATAGGCAACAACGGCAACGGCGGCGGCGGCGGAGGAGGAGGAACGTTAATTTTGTTGGTGCAAGGGCAAACCATATGCAACATACCGGTGGCGGGGCTGAGAGCTTGCAAGCCGGCGGTGACTCCTCCGAGACCTTCCCAGCCGACGGCGGACTGCTGTGCGGCACTGTCGCACGGAGACTTCCGCTGCCTGTGCTCTTACAAGACCTCCCCTTTGCTTCCTTCCCTCGGGATCGACCCCAACCTTGCCGTCCAGCTCCCGCGGAAGTGCGGCCTTCCAGCCCCTCCATGTTAATATATATATAAGAAGATCATCTATTTTGCCGGTGTTGGACGTCGTTTCCATATGTTACCGGCCATAATTTCCCGGCAAGGTACGGTGCCGGGGAGAGGTCCGGCCGGCGGTAATACTACTGAATAAATTACTCGGTGTTAAAAACCAAACGTTTGCGTTTAATTAGCAGAAGAAGAAGAAAAAAGTGGCTAGTTGCCTGTTGAATGTATAGAGTAAATGCTCCTGTGGTAAAGAGAGATGGTAATTAAAATAAAACGAAACTTTTTTCGGCAAGATATTGTTCGTTTTGAAGTGTACATGAAAGATAACTTCTTGTGAGATCACTCGTTCGTTTGCAGCATTACTGTTCTACAGTGAGCACGTTTAACTTTCGTAAGAACTCTATTTCATCTCAAAATATGTTTTTGATAGTTAATATCGGTTTCTTATTTGTGATCTCGCCCACGTTCTTTATCAATATGAAATTTAGCTACAACTTTACATATACACCATTGTGATATTCGTAAGTATTTGCAGCAAACATTAGACTCTGTCAAAGTGGGCGGGCGGGCGCGCGAAAGTGCTGAAGCAGAGACATCATTAATGTCTATTCTTAGTAGGTTAACGTAAGATGCAGATGTGTGAAGTGGGTGGTCAAGTGCATGCACAACTCATATGATATCTCAATCTTAATTTATAGCTATAAATCATCACGCCAGTATGATAGGGTTGAAGAATCGTTCCTGGTGGAGTTATTAGCACTTTCGACCAAGTAAGGAATGTGAATTAGTGAGTTGGTTTGAACCCTAAATAATTGGGGGAGGAAGAGGCTAAGTCCTTACTAACAAGTCTATTTCCTAAATTTGTTACGAATTTTACATGTAATCTTACCTAGATAAGATGCTTGGGCTGGCCCTCAGTCGTTCAATGAACTCTAGAGCTCTGGTATTAAAAATGATATTGTGGTCTAAATTTTTGTTTAAAGTATGGTAAAATAAAAATGATAATTACTTTTAGTGGTGGAGTTAGAAATTTGAATGAGGGGCTGATTTGAACCGTGATAACTATGGAAGGAGAGTTAAGACCTTACGGACTACTCAATTTCCTAAACTTGTTACGAATTTTACATGTAATTTCTCCTGCATTACAAATTTGAGGGGGCTATAGCCCCTCCCGACTTCAACCTAACTCCTTCACTGATTACCTTGTTTGAAAGCAAAATTATTTACCATATCTTTAATTTTTTGCATTCTCACTAAGATCATTCTCAATCATTATCGTACTTGATACATTAAGGATTTATAAAGACACTTTAAAATACAAATATAAATTGAGCAATCAATATACATATCTCATATATATACATTAGTATATTGATCAATGACTTATTAATTAACATACTTTAATAAATCATCGTACCCACAATCAATTAATCATACAAGTTCAACTTACGACTTGAATAATAGATCCACATGAGAGGTCTCCTAATATTCGGAGTCTCTATGCTGGAGAGCATTCTAGCAAAGCCACCCCTATTGTTCTGTGGTGTCATGACGGACGATTTTTGGGTTGGAATGAAAACAGAGTACCCACTCAACGGTGAAAAGCCCTACTTTAATGAATTTTTCCAACTATGAAAAAGAAAATTCAAAAATACCACCAATTCCCATACACTACCAGTCTACCACCTCACCCCGCGATTTTCATTCCGGTCGCCAAAAAATCGCATGGTGTCGGGCAGTTTCGATGAACCGCGGGGGAAGGCGCGGTTAAGGTGCAAACCGCTCCCCCCATCCAACGGTTTGCATTAAATTCCCCCCCCCCCCCTCCCCCTTAACACGCCTAATTTAGGTCAAAACTTCAAACGAACTTCACTTTAAACTCGGATATTCGTAGCGATTTTTTTGATTTATTACATTTTAGTACATACAATTTTTTCTCTTACATTTGATACATGAACTCTTAAAATTTTACAAACAGGTCCACTGTTAAAGAAACTTCTAGGCCACTTTAAGAAATTTGCGGCCTGGATTTTGTGGTTTGTGGAGAGGATTTTGTGAGGTAGATTTTCCTTTTCCCATTTAATTGCACACGTGACTCTCACTTCTCTCAATTTTTATTAATGACCAGCGTGCCCTTCCTACCCCTTTCCTTCATTAATTGAGATCAACTAATTTAAATAAAAAGATCATCCAAACGAAATATTCCTATTGTTTGGAATTAGTGTTAACATCATGCTAACAAAAACACTAGCTAGCTCCTCCCATCAATAATTCGGTCATGACAAAATAAAAAGTATCAAACTTGTGGACAAGGTATTTTTTTTTTATCATGATGATTCATCATGACATCTTGCCACCGCCCCTAGTGATCAAATACAGAAACCCACATAAAGGATTGTGGAAATTGCATGGAAGACTTGGAGTCAATGTCCAGTCTGCCAAGGGTAACTTCCAGTTCTTAATCTTCTGTGGTTCTGGCAGCAAGACTTGGAAAGAAAGAAGCAACTCAAGTCCACGAATCAAACAAAACTAGAAATAATTGCACTGATAGAGACATATCGATAATTCATTGTCAATTTATACACAGCAAGCTCTGAAGTTCGAACCACTCTCATCAATCAAGTTTAACTTCTTTTCATCAAACGCTCCCCATGTCTCGCCTCATCACCCTCTCCTTAATTACATCAACATTATTAATCCTGATCATCTTTCCCTTAAACAGCACTGCCAGATTACATCCTGGGGACTGCCGCCCTACAGAGAGGCAAGCCCTTCTCAACTTCAAGCAAAACCTGATCGACGTCGCTGATCGCCTTGTCTCGTGGTCTGCTGATCATGACCACGGAGATTGCTGCAACTGGTCTAATGTTGTCTGTGACAGCGTTACAGGGCATGTCCTCGAGCTGCAACTGAGCAGCACTTCAAATCTTCCTGAACAGGCATTTAGTGGTGTAATCGATTCGTCCCTGTCGAAATTGGAGCAGCTGACGCTGTTGGATCTCAGTGACAATGCCTTTGGTGGAATTCCTCTGCCCAGCTTCCTCAGCTCCATGAAGAATTTGCGGGTTCTGAACTTGGCCAGGTCCGGATTCGGAGGAAGCATTACTGCTGACGATCAGCTTGACAACCTGTCAAACCTCAGGTATCTCAGCCTCCAAGGAAATTACATCAAAGTTGAGACTCTGGAGTGGCTTTCCAGTCTTTCTTCTCTGGAGCTGCTAGATTTGGGTTTCTTGGACCTCGGTAGCGTCTCAGATTCATGGCTGGATGTCATCAACAAGCTCCCTTTGCTTGTCGAGTTGCGTCTCTCCTATTGCCAACTTGGACAGGTCCCGGAGTTCCTGAACCCTGTCAATTTCACATCTTCCATGTCAGTTCTCGATCTATCACACAATAATATCTCCAGTCAGCCTCCATTTCCCAAATGGGTTCTTGATCTCAGGTCCTTAACTTACCTCAATCTCGCAAACAACCGATTTCAGGGCCATATCCCTGAGGGTATTCAGAACCTGAGTTCACTCGAAACACTTGACCTGTCCTGGAATTCGTTCAGTTCCTTGAGCCCAACCTCCTTCTCTTCCCTGATCAGACTTAGGCTCTTCAACCTTGCATTCAATAACCTTGGAGGTGATCTTTCTGGAGCCATGGGGGATATGACTTCCCTCGTGGAACTTGATCTCTCCTCAAATGGGTTTCAATTTGTTGGAGGAATTCCAAATTATTTCAGCACATTTTGCAACCTGAAATTGCTTACCTTATCAGATGTCAGGCTAAAACAGGATGTCAACCAAGCTTTTGATGTTCTGTCTCGATGTCCTGCAAATGGTTTGAAGACCATCAGGATGTCCAATTGTCAGTTATTTGGTTCCTTGAACATTTCCCTTGCGAAGTTCAAGAACCTCGACACACTTTCCTTATCGAAGAATTCGATTTCAGGTCCACTACCAAAGTCTTTGACAGACTTGGGATCGTTAAAGTATTTAGAGCTTTACAGCAACAAATTCCATGGAACCCTTCCCACAAGGTTTGGAACTCTCACAAACCTAGAGTCGATTGACATCTCTGACAACTTACTGGAAGGTGATGTCTATGAGATTCACTTCTCAAACCTCACCAAGTTGTGGATGTTTCGCGCGTCTGGAAACCTGCTCAGGCTGGAAGTAGGTTCAGATTGGGCTCCTCCACCACAATTGAATGATTTGGGACTAGGATTATGGAGACTCGGACCTCGATTTCCTTCTTGGCTTCAGTCCCTAAAGCTGCTAAACAGCTTGAACTTGTCCAATTCAGGAATTTCTTCTCACATTCCGTCTTGGGTTTTCTTCAACTCTGTTTTATACAGCATTGATCTAAGCTCAAATCTTTTGACTGGTCCATTGCCTTTTATTTCTCCGATTACAAGCATTCTGGACCTCTCAAACAATAGCCTCTCTGGAACCATTACAAACTTCCTCTGCTACAAGCCCAAGGAAGACAAGATGACCCAAGTCCTCAACCTCGGAGGAAATCGATTTCGTGGCGAAGTTCCTGACTGTTGGGGATCCTGGAAGTACCTTGAAGCTGTGAAGTTGAGCAGCAACAGGTTCACTGGCAGCATCCCTTGGTCTATTGGAACATCTGTGTTTCTCGATTCGCTTAACCTGCGAAACAACAAACTCTCTGGCCACATTCCATCCTCACTGAAGAACTGCTCCAAGCTCGTTGCACTCGATTTCAGCGGGAACGAACTGGCCGGAACAATCCCTGCCTGGATTGGAGAAAATTTGAGGAAACTGATGATTCTGAACTTCAGGAACAACAACTTCCATGGACCCATTCCTGAGCAGCTCTGCGAGGCGAATTCGCTGCGAATTCTCGACCTTGCCAACAACAATCTCATCGGAAGAATCCCCAAATGCGTCAACAACTTCACGGCGATGGTACAAATGAACGATTCCGGTGGCACGATTCTCCTGAGCTACAATGGGACCGGCCCGTTCTTCGAGACGGCACTGATCATGATCAAAGGAAAACTATCCGAGTACGGTTCCATTTTGAAGCTGGTGAGAAGCATAGACTTGTCGGAAAACAAATTGTCAGGGGAAATCCCTTGGGGCATGACTAGACTCGAAGGGTTGCAGTCACTGAACCTGTCAGGAAACTTGCTGACGGGGGAAATACCTGAGGACGTCGGAGCAATGAGATCGCTGGAATCCATCGATTTGTCTCAGAATCAGCTTTCAGGGGAAATCCCAAGGAGCATGTCAGGGATGACGTTTCTGAGCTTCCTGAACTTTTCTGACAACAAGTTGAGCGGCAGGATTCCTTCAAGCACCCAATTCGACGGATTTAATGCCTCAAGTTTTGCCGGGAACTTGAATCTCTGCGGCCTCCCACTTGCCAGAAACTGCAGCAATGTTCCTGCGCCTGGGCAGGACGGGATTGGGAACGGAGAGGAGGATGAAGGCCACGTATATGAACAGTGGTACTTCTATGTCAGCATAGCAATTGGATTCATAGTGGGATTCTGGGGCGTTGTTGGTTCCTTAGCACTGAGCAGGAGTTGGAGGTATGGTTACTTCCGGTTTATCGATAGTTTGTGGTACAAATTTAGAACGGGATAATAGCACGTAGGTATTGTAAAATCCTACCACAGGTTGTATAAGAATAATTAGCGGTATGTTATTTTGCGTTAAATCGTACTTCCATCGTTTCATACGATAGCTAAATACCACTTAATGGTATGAGATTTTCCGATCGGGGCACCGGTTCGGGACTGTTTTACAAATATTGGATTCATATCGTACCAAAGAGGTGTACAATATCATAAAGAGATCAGGTATCATCTTGTCACATCCTTATAATTTTTTATAAGTGGGGAAAAACATTTATATAAAATGGGTAACTTCAAATGTTAAATCGAAGTTAATGAACTAGGTTAAATATGTACTATTTTCATGTGACAATCTTGACTTAAAATCAACACTATATATAATGCCCTAAAACCACTTGTACCTATGATACAGCCCAAACCAGTCAAAAGAAGACATTGCAACAATCTCCTAGCATCTAAACTGAATTACACGGCACTTTTCCAAACTATTAGCTGATCCACCTATCCCTTGTTTCCTATGTCTCTATTTGGAAGGATAAAGTAGAAAACAAAAAGGGAAAAAAGGCAACATAAGAAACTGTGAAAACTTATGTTAATACGGGAACTGTCACCTGGGGCCAGAGAGTTCCATTGCTTGTACCAACAATGAAGAATCATCAGTGAGATCAGAGTATCGATCTGACGACGAGAAATCGTTGTTCTTCGACTTGGTAGCTTCTGCCCTTTGAGAAGCTTCCCATCTCTCTGCAAGTCCATCTCCTTCCAGCATTCGGACTACTTCAGACATTTTCGGTCTTTGACTAGGAAGGTATTGTGTGCTAAGGAGTGCAACTTTAACCATCTCTTCCAGCTCGATTCTGTCATAGTTCCCTTTCAAATCCTTGTCCACCATCATTTCCAGCTGCTTCTCATGATGAATCTTCTTTACCTGCCAAAATGTAAACGAAATAAACAGACTGAGCCACAAAGTTTTCCTTTGTTCATTTTCCCATCTTAAAGAGAATTGAGGGCTGACCCAATCGAGCATGGCTCCTTTCTGGTTTGCTGCCTTTCCAAACTCCAATGCTCTTTGGCCAGTGATTAGCTCGAGGAGCAAGATTCCGAATCCAAACACATCCGTTTTGTCTGAAGATTGGCCTGTGGAGAGATACTCTGGTGCAATATGGCCTACAGTTCCTCGAACAGCAGTAGTCACATGTGAATCTTGGTGATCAAGCAACTTTGCCAACCCGAAATCACCAACCACGGCTTCACAATAGTCATCGAGCAATATGTTTGCGGCCTTAACATCCCTGTGGATTATCTTCGGATCACATTGTTCATGGAGGTATAGCAGGCCCCTTGCTGCTCCTAAGGCTATTCTCTTTCTTGTACTCCAATCCAAGACCGGTTTCCCTAGAAATGAGAAGAGATGATCAGTCTGGTTAAAAGATTTGACTGTTTGGGATGGTCAATGCAAGCTGCATATCAGTTTTACCTTTGAGACGAGAAGCAACGCTGCCATTGGACATGTATGGATAAACCAGTAGTCTCTCTGATGGTGTGATGCAGCAACCGTATAATCTGAGGAGGTTTCGGTGCACTGCTAAGCTGATCATTTCCACTTCAGTCTGGAACTGAATCTCTCCTCCAACGGTACTACCATCTTTCAATCTTTTCACGGCTACGATCGTCCCATCGTGGAGAGTTCCTTTGTATACATGGCCGAACCCTCCTTTCCCAAGTATATTTTTGTTGCTGAAGTTGCCTGTTGCAATCTGGAGTTCTCTAAACTGAAACAACTTCAAGTTTCCGAGAGATACTTCTTCATGCAGCCTATCTTGTTTTCCTGAAAGGAGCAAAACAAACTATACATGGTTAGGCAGAAGAGGCAGCCAGTTTATGTACATTGTAAAAGTCTCGTTATAGTATCTTCCATACCATCAACATCGAAAAACATTGGTGGATTAAGCCTTTGCCTCCACCACAGGAACATTCCAAACACCATAATGATGAGGGAGATTGCACCAACGCTTGATCCAAAGGCAACTGCTATCTTGTGACTCTTTGGTCTTTGGGAAGGGGGATTAACTGATAACAGAAATGAGATCGAGATCAAACACTGATCAAGGCATCAAATTGTCAAAGCATGAAGGTAATTATGCTATTGCTCACGTTCTGTGTTGTTCAAGTCCATGGACATTGGCATTAGAGTTGTCCCAAAACACTCTGGCTCTGAACCAGTTGGGCAGATGAGTGGATTGCCAACAATGCTGCAATGCAGGAGGATTGAAGTTAGCAGCCGTTTAATTGATATGTCGAAGGATAAATGCATTGAGGAAATGAGATGACCTGAAGGTTTTAGCAGGGAATGTAGGTATGGGGCCACTCAGATTATTGTATGACAGGTCACTGAAGTTCACCAAAAGAAGTTTGTTTCAGTGGCGCATTTTAGCCAAATGATACATAAGATTTCAAGGTCGAGCTAGACTTACAGAAACACAAGCTTGGTCATGTTCCCAATTGACATGGGGACTTTGCCGGAGAGACTGTTGTTGTTTAGCCTCCTGAAGTTCAAAATTGACCAACTCCTCAAAATCAGGGTGAAACAGAAGAGAGTATATAGGATTGATGATCCACAGCGGCCATGTCCTTGAGCATCATGTAGAAGAGAAGATGGGTCGGTATGCTTACATGTATTGGAGACTCCTCAAGTGCCCTAATGAAGAAGGAACACTCCCGGTGAAGAGATTGTTAGACAGATCAAGCGTGTGAAGTTTTGAGAGCTTCCCTATCTCTGCTGGAATGGGCCCTGTGATATTATTGTTCTGCAACAGCCTGCAACGAAATGCAATTTGAGTAGCCCTCTTTAGCATGCTTGAAACCAAAGAAGCAGGACTCAGAAATGGCGGCACCCATTTTTGGAAAAGTTAAAACTTACACAATCTGAAGATTCGTCAAGTTGGCAATGCTTGGAGAAAGAGTTCCAGATAAGTCCTGACTAGGAGTTCCCCTGCAAGCCAAATTTAAGAATGGTCACATCTTAGCAGAAGCATTAAATTACAGGTACTAGGTACTTTTCAATACATTAGCAGAAGCATTAATTACAATCCAATGACGAGGCTCTCTGACGAACAAGTAACCATAGTCCAGCTACAAGGATCCACAGCATCGCCATCCCAGTTATCAAGAACCCCATGGGGATCATGTAAAGAAGCTTTTATACCCATCAAAGCTTGTACTGCAACAAACCAAACCCACATCAGAAAAGAGAAAAATACTCCCTTCAGACTTCAGAGGAAAATCATCGAACACCCTCCAGGCACAGAAACAAACCCATCCTTCCCCCACCTTCAAAGTTCACGCCTTTGGGGGAAAGCAACCCATTTGCGGTAGTAGCAGCGTAAACCCACCAGAAAATCACAAAACTCATAACACCCATTTCTTCTCTCCTTCTTCCTCCTCTACTCGTACTTCCAGCTGCGGCCGCCATTGAAGAGAGCAAAAAGGAATGGACTTTGGACACCCAAACTGCCTTACTGTGCTTCTATAGATCTGCTAACAATCTCACATTGATTCCAACTGGATATAGAAAGGGAACAACTTTGAAACGGGCCTGGTGTTACTTTTCGGTGGTGGTGGTGGAGTGAGGCATCCATCCATGCTTGATGCTTTTCTTTCTTTCTTTCTTTCTTTAGGCTTTCCTTCCCCAGGAGTAGTCCCACGCAGTGCTGCTTTTCACGCCAGAAAAGAAAAAGAAATCCCAATTTCCCGAATAGAAAATAAGGAAAATAATTGGGGGTTTGTTTGTTTGGTCGTGTCAGAAGAATTCTGAAACAAGAAAAGCAGCAGTGTTTTTTTGTCGTATGAATGAAGGACGCCCAGCTGGACGTAAGCGTAACAAACAAAATCATTACCATACGTAATAATTACTGTGAAGGAAGGTCGCGTGATTTTGGATGGTCCTAATCAAATCTTAATCAGCCAAAAGAAGAATTGATGTTAACGTAAGCCCTAAAAGATAAAGTAGGAAGGTAGAGCTGAATTGTTATTCAAATTTCCCTCCCACAAATGCATTGTTTGGAGGAATCAATGAATCTGTAGTCCATCCATATCTCGTTAATAAAGAATCTAGTAAATAGGTTTTTTAGTTTTATAAATTTTTTCTAAGAGGTAAGTAATATTAATTTCTCCTTTATTTTCAAAGTAGTAATCACTAGAGTAATGATGATTTATTAGTCAAATTTAGGGGTGGGCAATGGACGGGTTGGGTGGATTTTGGTCTAAAATTGATCCACCCGCTTACTAGCGGGTTGGAATATATGTGACACGTAATCCACCCACATACTTATGCGGGTTGGGTTGAGTGGGTGGCGGATTGGTGTGGTTGGGTCGCGAGTTAACCCGCAAAAGCAATTCGCCAACTAGCTATTAAGAAAATTGACTAACATTTATAATAAGTTCATAGCAAATTAGTAAGATTGTATCAATAATTTGTGATTTTGATACAATTAATAACTTATAGTTTGTATTCCAATATTTAATGGATATTAACAATAATTTGCATACCAATATCCATTGTCAATGGATATTGCACAACACAATAACCAATAATAGTAGTCAAAACTATTCTTTATTCTCACCTTTTGAAGTATATGGTCAGACTATAGTGCAGTTCGAAAATATGATGAATATTCGATACTATAAGAAACAATATTTTTCCATGTAAAAACAGAACGCGGGTCATACGGGTGACCCGCAGTCCACCCACCATCCACCCACATAAGTGCGGGTGAGAGATTTAACAATCCGCAATCCACCCACATCAATCACCCATTGAGTGCGGGTCGGGTTATTTGAGGGTGGATCGATATCAATCCGCGGATTAACCACCCACGTCCCCTAGTCAAATCTTTTTCAGATTCTTTTTTATTAGTCAAACCTATCGAAATACTAAAAATTAGTCAAATGTTTTGTAATGCATCAAAATATTAGCTATTTTTACATTTTCGTGATAATGTTGTAACTCTTTTCTTAATTAAAATACTAAAATTTTGGAATGTTAACCTCTATTTATCTCTTCTAAGTCATTATCACGTTACCAAGTCAATATTACTAACAAAATTGTTAATTGAAAGTTAACATTCGGCTAATTATTAGCAATTCCAATATGTTTGAATTTGAAAAAGATTTGACTAACAAATAGTCATTACCATTAATATCTCTATCTAATGACTAAAACAAAATTGGTAGTTTGGATAATTTATAATTAAATCACGAATAACAAATTTTCAATAAAAAAATCAACCCATAATTGAAAAGGCATCACAAAAAATAACATGTTGTAATGAATTGGTCTCATGTAATGAGAGAGGTCATGAAAAGAGAAGAACCTGTTTGAGCCACGAAACCCCCTCCGCTATCTGGGCGTTTCCCTCCAACGGGCGTCGACCTGCAAACACAAAGAGGAGGGCGCCTCGGCCCATTAATCCTCCGACGCTCAAGTTAGTCTCAGTGAGAGAGTCGAGTTCTCTATTAATGCTATGAAGTGAGAGAGTCCAACCTGCATAAATGCTATCGGTTGCCCCTATTTATACTCACCGAACCCGAGGTTGATCTCCGCCACGTCACCATTCTCATTTAATGCTCTGTGCCCCCTCTGTGAGACAGCTAACCGCCTTGTCAGGCTCCTGACACATGACAGGCACCTGACACATGACAGGCGCCCGCTGGCAGTGGTCCTCTGGACAGCTGGCCACTATTTGGCTTTTAGTGTTATATTCTTTGGGCCTTCCCCCTTTTTTTTGGGCCCAAGGGCTTCTGGTGGATCCCTTTTCTTTGGCTTTGCCCCCCAATCTCTTAATTCTGGAGGCCCAAGCTATACCCCCAACAATTGCCCCCCCAGTTAGGTGCTCGTGGTTTCACCATTGAGCGCCTAGCTGACTCCGTTGCCGCAGTTTTGGTGTTTCTCATGTCTTGAGGCGCCCATGTTGCGTCTTGGTCCTCTTTTTCGGGTCGGGGGCGCTGTTGTCCATCCCTTCCATTAGTAGGCGTCCTGCTCCCAACGATGCCCCCTACTACGCGTATTTCTTTTTCGCGTTTCGTGGGCGCCTTTTGACCGCCTTCTCCTTTCGGGCATCGCATATTTGAGTATGCTCTTTGCGGTGTTCGCTTCATCTTTGTACCTTGCGGACGCCTCTTCATGGCATCCTTCGTACGGGCGTTCCTAGCCCTTATGCCCCCCTCACGGGGGGAGTTTTGATGTGAGCCCCTCGTTTCGCTTGGCGGGAAAATTCGAAATTTCGAATATGGAGGTTGGAAAATTCGAAATGAGAAATTTCGAAAATTCCGGGGAAGGAAAGGTGGGGGAAGCTCAAAAGTCCGCCCGTGATGCTGACACGTGGCATGTCAGCGCGACCCCTGACGCGGACTCTCGCCTCTTATAAATACCCCCCCTCTCCCCCAGTTCCTGTCACTTTCTTCCATTTGACTTCTCTCTAAGATTTCGCTCTGACCTCTCTCTAGACTCTGCTCTGTCCTCTCTCTTGTCAGGCTTTGCTTGCGTCACCTCCTTCCCTTGCAGTCGTCCAAAATGTCGACCTCACCCCACGACAACTCTGCTGGACAAGGCGCCCAAGGCGCAGGCGCCTCTGGCGCAGGTGGCGACACAAGCCGTCCGGTTCAACGCGGTGAGTGTTTCTTTTTCCCTCGTTAGTTCTTTTGAGTTTATTCTAGTCACCTAGGGTAGGGGCGTCACTTACCCCGTGTCCGCGTTGCGTCTCGGTCGTTTGTTGGTTTAGAGCGGGCGCCTGCTTCAGCATCTGGTGGACCGTCATCGTCGGCCGGGCCATCGAGTTCTTCGGCGCCTGGGTTTTTGCCAGCCGACGGGTCCTACAAGATTACATCATGGGAGAAGTGTTTTCCTCCTGATCATCTGCCTGTCGAGACGTCTCATCTATCCTTCGAGGTGGCCGGGCCGAGGCACACGTCCACAGTCACTTTGGACCGTGTTCACGAGTTGGTGACCAGCCTCCAACTTCCCAGAGACTGGTGGTATGCGCCCCCATCGCCTCTGTCTCGTGTGGGCGTCTGTGGTCCGAAATGGATCGGGATTTACCAAGAATATTTCCGCTTCGGGCTGCAGTTTCCCCTTGACTCGATCATGGAGGGGATCCTGACAACTTGCGCCTGCCCCCTCGGACGCCTCTCTCCCTCGGTCATCACGGTCGTCATCTTGTTCAAGTTGAGGTGTCGAGAGCACAACGTGGAGCCTACTTTCAACTTGTTCAGATACTTCTTCAAAATGGTGCCCCTCGACAATTGCATCTCCCTCCAGAAACGAAAGAAGCGCCCCTACCATTTTGTGAAGAAATGTCCCAAGTTGAACCGAAGCTGGTTCAACGGGTTTTTCTTCGTGAAGGCCTATCAGGACTCCTTTTTTGCGAGTGGAGGCGCCTTTGTTAGGAGATGGGAGTTGGGTCATGTCGAGGATTTTAATAAGCCGGTGGTTTTGACGGCGTCTGAAAAGGCTGGCGCTCCCTTAATTTGCGAGGGGGAGCCCGTTGACTTACGCCCCGCGGATAATCGCCCGCCTATTATTCAGGCGTATTATAACGATGGTGTGTAGGCGTCTAGGTGTTCCTTTTCCTTACTCCCTTACTTGGATTATTGCCTAACTCATTTACAACTTATGCAGGGGCGGATTATTCAAGCATCGCCAAGCTGATGAAGAGTCGGCTGGCGACTATGGCGGCGGAGGCGGCCGCGGCGGCGGCTTCACAACAGGAGGCGCCCGCTCACCAAGAGGCGCCCGAACAACAGGAGGCGCCTGCCAGTCAATCAAGGGCGCCCACGGTTGGCCCCAAGAAGAGGAAGAAGAGGGCGGTGAAGGGTGGCACCGCTCGGGCGCACACAGCGAGCGTGGCGTCGTCCGCGCCGGAGGAAGGCGATGGGGCGCCTAACGCCGACCCCGCGGAGAAGGAGGTTAACTCCGCGGAAGAAGAAGAAGAAGCGGAGCCTTTGCTCCGAAAGGGGAAGAGAGCTGGCTCCCCCTTAGCTTCGGCCAGCAAAAGGGCCGATAGGGGAAAGAAGAAGATGGGCGTCGATGATGACGCCTGCGATGAAGTGGAGGTAGAGGAGGAGGCGGGGGAGGACGACCGGCTCCACCTCAACGAAGAGGGGCGCTACGTTGGCCCCGACGGGCGCTACGTTGGCCCCGACGGGCGCCCGTCCATCTTCCGGCCACGGCGGGCCGATGTGGGGCGAGTGAACATGAACTGCTCCCCCTTGGTCGCCGTTGACCGGGGATGTGCCATGGGCTTGGCCATTGCGGCGGCCAAATCGTGACAGGTGCCTTCGGAGGTGAACAGTGATCACCACTTTGCCGAGCTAGCCCAAGTGGGCGCCAAGGTATGCGCTTTTCTTTGTACTTGTGTTTTCTGTAAGTGTAGAGAATTGTGTTTTTGTTTTTGCATAACTTGCTGAGCTATCACCCTCTGTTGCAGATCCTTCTTTTTGCTGAGAAGGGCGCCCGACGCCTTAACGAGGCCAAGCGGGAGGCACTCGAGGCGTCCTCTTCTGTCTCGCAGTTGAAGCTGGACTTGGAGAACGCGACTGCCCGTCGTGAGCAGTTGGCAAAGGAGTGTGAGGACGCCCAGCTGACCGCGACCATGGAAGTGTCACGGCTTCAGGGCGCCCTGGATGAGGAGCGCAGGAAGTTGGCTGATCTGCAAGCTGAGAAGGAGGCGTTGGCGCGGGAAGCCGGAGCCCAGGCCAGCGAGATTGATATCCTCAAGGAGGAGAAGAAGAGGCTGCGCGACGCCCACAAGGAGACTGAGAAGTCTTTGAAGAAGGCCCGGAAAGAAATT